CAGAGGAACTCGAGCATCCCCTGCTGGCAAAGCTCCTTTGTTCACCCATCCAGCGGGCACCCCTCGCGTTTTGGATGGGCCAGAGGAATGGACACTCCGATCATCCATTCTCATTCGAGAGGGCAATCAAGGCTGCTCGTGATGGATGGGCTCAGGGAAAGGCAGGCATGGGTAGCGAGGAGTGGATGAAAGGAGTCCTTGGGTATGCAGATGAGGAGGCTACTGAGGCTGAGCTAGAACGGCGTATACGGCAGTTTAGTCAGCTAAGAATTCCTGCGTACTATGTTTGCCCGCGTTGCGAGTCGGTTTTGTAATGTGATGTATGGTGCTTTAGCAGCCAATGCTGCTCATGCTGTTTTGGGTGCCAGCAACTTCATTGTTGATGAATAGTGCACATAAGGATCAACCAGGCCCAAGTTTTGCAAACTATGATGATGCACTCAAGCCTCCCGTAACGGCCGCTAGGATGTTGGGGTTGATGGGCCGAGAGGACATACCCGAGAAGTGACTTGTATGAGCGGGGGTTTCCGAGTACAATCCCGAGTTCCCTACGAACACAGAGGGTGCGTGAGGGGGCCGAGCAAGCTTATCGCTTCTAGCCCGCCCCCCGGACCTCGCACCCATGTTGCCAAAGAAGACCACAACTGGCCGCCGCATGAGCGGCCGCTGCGCAACCAGACAACCCTGCAGCAGACAGGCACAGTGTGGGTCGCCGAAGCCGACGAGCTGACACATGGTGCAGATGCCGACCGCACCCTCCTCACCGACGACGAGGCATGGTACCTTGACTCGGGTGCGACGATTCACATCTCGAAAAATAGACTCGATTTTATTGACTCCACAAGTGACCAATGTTGCACGTGCATCGAAGGCAAACAGCGTGTCGCCCCGTACCCACAAAAGTCGCTCACCGAAGTCGCCAGAATCGGCAATCTGACCGTCTGGGACGTCTGGGGCCCCGCGCGCATCAGACGCATTCACGGTGAATTCTATTTCACACAATTCACAGACAAGAAGTCACGCCACCGCGTCCTCTACTTCGCCCCCGACAAGGGCCATCAACTCGAAAACATCAAGCCATATCGTGCATTTCTGAAAACACAGACCGGCAAGCTGAAGAAGACACTTTGCGTGGACAACGGGAAGGAGTATATCAATTGCGCCATAAAGCAGTATCTTCAATCTCACGGCATTTGCCTCGAGCTAACCGCCCCCTATTCCTCCGCGCAGAACGGCAACGCGGAATGTGCAAATCTCACAATTGTCAATGCTGTGCACGCAATGCTGTTTGCGCATGACCTCCCCACCTTCCTCTGGCCCGAAGCTGTCCAGTACGCAAACTACCTCCGCAACTGCTCCCCAACGCGCGCACCCGCCGACTAGACTCTGTTTGAAGTCTTCTGGGGCCGCAAGCCACACGTTGGCTACCTCCGTGATTTCAGCGCTGACTGCTGGGTCTTGCAACAGGACATGCAACTGCACAAGCTCGCACGCAAGTCTCGCGCATGCAAGTTTGTCGGATTTTCCAAAGA